GGGGGAAATGTCCCTTCCCATCGACCTTATCTGTGGCCCTCCTAATTTTACGGCCCATTTTTTAATTGGAGGAGCAAGTGGAAGTGCGTTGCTCTTCTCAAGCCACTTCCTCAATTTAGAGTCCGTGTCTAATTTGCCAGCTGACACTGTCAGGTGTTGCTGTCACCTCACTGGTCCGAGAAATCCCAGGATCCAGGCTAATATCTTGACGGGATGTGTTCAAATCCCTTGCCAGTGAAGGGAGGGCAAAAGAAAAAGATCAATCTGGAATTGGAAGTTATTGAGTCACCATGGCTCATGACATAAGCCCATCTGGTTCCCGAAGTCCCTTTGGGATAGTAAGTTGCCCAGACCTTGCATTGACTGGCCAACGTGAGGTTCCAAACGCACAGCAACGTGGGTGACAAGTCTGCATTGGCCGAGCGAGAGATTCAGTTTGCTCTTCCGACGCTCATGGACACCAGCGGTTGAGGAAGACGGCTCACCATCACATCCCCAACAGCAGTAGTAAGGTGATGATGGGCAAGAAACTGCGTCCTCTTGCCTCTCACCAAAAGTCTATTGATCTCAGACTGACGTGTGTCTGGCCCTAACTTGAGAGACTTAGATCATAGAATCCCTACAGTGTGGAAACAGGCCCTTTGGCCCAGAAGTCCACACCAAACCCCAGAGCATCCCCATCCAGACCCATCCTCCTATAACCCACCTAATCTACACGTTCCTGAACACTATGGGTAATTTAGCATGGCCAATCCACCCTAACCTGTGCATCTTTGGACTGCAGAAGGAAACCGGAGCATGCCCACGCAGACATGGGGAGAATGTGCAAACTCCACACAGACAGTTGCCTGAGGGTGGAATTGAACCCAGGTCCCTGACGCTGTGAGGCAGCAGTGCTAACCACTGAGCCACCACACCTCCCAATTTTTGTTTTCAATATTACCCCCCCTGTTTTTGGACTACAGTGTCGTCCAATAAACCTCATCTGTTTTCTTTAATCTTTTCTCTGTTTAATTGGAATCATAGAATCCCTACAGCGCAGAAAGAGGCCAATCAGCCCACTGAGTCTGCAGCAGCCCTGCAGAAAGCATCCCACACCCACCACCACCACCACCCTGTAACCACACATTTACTGTGGCTAACGCACACATCTTCTGGACTGTGGGAGGAAACCAGAGCACCCACAGGGAACCCATGCAGATACGGGGAGAATGTTGCAAACTCCACACAGGCAGAGGGTAGGATCGAACTAGGGTCCCTGGCACTGTGAGGCAGCAGTGCTAACCACTGAGCCACTGTGCTGCCTCTTAATATGCAGTGGCCAAGTAACACAAACCTCACCTGTGTAACCACTCCTTAACATTTGGAGACCAGGTATCATTTTGGTAAACTGACACTGCACTCCCTGCAAGATTGATCTATAGCCAGATTGTTGACTGATAGGTAAGGGGATAACACTGAAATTACAGACCCCCGCCTCACTCCCCGTTCCCTGCGTTTAATCCCTGTGAAAGTCGGCGGGGAGTAATCTTGGGCAGGGTCTTACTTGCCATTAGCAAGAACATACGCACACACTGCCCATCCTTCACAACTCAACCAAAAAGCTGCCAGCCGCTGTTCGGTGCTCTGACGGGCCAGTCAACCCGCCCTCGCTTCAAAATTTAAACAAAGCCTGGCTGTTAACTGTCAATTAGCATCGCTGGATGCGTTGTCCATGGTGAACCAATCAGCATTCACTTGGCAACCAATCAGAACCCTGTTCCGGTGCAGAACGAATGTTTGTGTCCCTTCAAATTGGTGTTCTCGTGAGATGCCCTGATGAGTGCAAAGTGAAATATTTTGACAAGATGCGTGCTCTTTAAACACTCTTTACCCGCTCCCCCAAAGACACCCCATTTCCTGAGTTTAAGTTAAAGATGTCCTGCCTTGGGTCTGAAACCCATTCATGCCAGCAACGCTAAGACAGATTGGAAGTGAACTGTCGGCCTCCATCCCACCACCTTCCTGAATCATTTCTGCCCTGTGCCCATTTCCGACAGTGGCATTGGAGTAAGTTTGTAAAAGATGGGCACGTGGGTCAGAGTTAGCAAGAGGCAGCGCGCCAGAGTCAAGCGAGAGTTTTCTGAGATGTGCAGTTGATACAGCAGCCGTAATGCCTGTACTCTGGGACCTGAGCAGACGTGGACAGCAAGGTGGAATGCTGGGTAGAACACGCAGAGCAGGCGTAGACTCCTCTGCCCTTCGAGCCTGTTCCGTCACCATTCAGTAACCCCAGGTAACCCTCCGTCCCCTTTTCTGACAAGAATCTTCCAATTCAGAGAAGGAAAAGATGGGGCTTACAACTCCCTTCCCATCTGTCTTTTGTTGCTGGCATCAATGAGTTTCAGATCCATCTGTGCCCGCCTTTACAAATATTCACTGGCTCTGCCTTCACTGAGCTCGATAAAAGGAACATGCCTCCCTTATTTCACTCCTTTTCAAACAGCGCTCGCCAGTCATACACTTAACCGAAAAGAGAGAAAGCCCTTTCCACGTCCACCATGTCAACTCAGATGCTTTTCCATCCAGTCATCCCTTACTCCTCTCAATTCCAGTGGACGGCTCACTCCAGTGAATTAACTGCGTGAATATAGTCTTGCTGAATCTGCACCCACGCCCCTGCTCTGCTTGTGCCATGTTGATGATTTGGCTGTATTTTTAGCCCCCTTGACCACCTTGGTACCACCTCCTTATGCCAGCTGCGTGTCAGATGGCGGCGTTTTTACGACAGCGGGCCACGGATTTAGGTCGCAATTTGGAGACTGGATTGCAGTTCCCTTCCTGTTCAGGTTCGGAGCTGCCATCTTTCTGACGGTCCCGGCAACTCGGAGGTTGGTCGGGAAGGGTCCCTGTGAAGGAAAGCTGAGGAGTTCGGCCCAGCGGCCGGCCCTGTCTTTATCCCTCAGCCTGAGAGCATCAGGGAAATCAGTGGTCCAGGCTTCATCCTGCTGCTGGTTGTGTGATCTTGCTGTGCACAGGTTGGCTGCCATATGCCCTGCGACCACACTTCGCACTTTGGCACCTGCTGAGGTCATGAAAGGCGCTACGCAAACATAAGCATCCTGAGGAGGACAGCGTTTGCGCAGAACCCTCTCTCTCTCAAAAATGCGAAACAGGGTTTGGCTCAGCTCCCTCATGGCACAGTCCGATGGACTCAGACAGCCTTTTAGCAATTCATTCTGCTCTTCCTGAGCTTCGGAGGTAAGGGACATACGTCAATCTTCATCTTGTTCCTTGTAAATTTCTAAACCGCAGGCATTCCGATTCCTTTCAGTACAACCTGACGCCACCCAGTTCGAAGGGCCCGAGCGGGTCTGGGAAATGGTTCAGTCAGCAGACCGTTGGTCTGTTCTGTTTGCGGCGGATTTGCGGCTTTTTTTTTGTTTTGCTCGTGCAACAACAAGGAAGTTCCAGTCGACACCTCTGCCTCCTAAGGCCCGATAAAAATCGCTCAGGACAGAAGAACTCGGGTCGTACCTCACCCTCAGCCGCTGAACTGGGCCTAGCGAGGCCGCCTGGTTGTCTCACTTGTTGAAATGGCGCAGCTTGGCAGTGTTAGGCCTCGCGAGGGGGGAAGTCGTTGGTGAACTCTGTCTCTCATCGTGATGCCCAGTGCCCACCTTAATGGGTGCGCAGTTTTCCCAGTGTTAGGAGATGGGAGGGTAAGCGGGCTGGAAATTTTGGCGGGGGAAGGCATCGGGAGTGGGGCGCCCAATCTCTCATGGCCCCCGCGTCCACATGTCGCTGGGGAGGCACGTGCCAGTTGGAACACTCAGCAGGGCCGCTCCCCTCCACCTCTCTGAGGTGGAGACTCCGTTGAGGGCGCCCCCTACCTGAGCAGCTTCGGCGGTGGGCACCGCTGCTGAGGCTCACGTGGACGAAGGTGCTGGGAGCGGGTTCCTCATTGGCTGCACCCTCACCCCCAATCATGGCGTCGCTCTCCTCCCCGCCGGGGTCCCGCTGCCCGCCCCCACAGAGACAGCTCTTGACTCGGGAAGGGGATCCCCGGTGACAGCGAGGAGGAGGAGAGCTCCCCGCGCCCCCCGCGTGTTTTGTTTCGGGCAAACGGGAAAACCGCGCTTGTGTCTTTCGCAGCTACAAGCTGTCGTGTGATGTCGAGCCGCCAGCCGAAGCGAGTGGCACTCCCACAAAGACCCGCCCTACATTGATCATCACGCACTGCAACGAGTAAGTACATGTTGTGTCGACTGTGTCTGTGGAAAACCCTCCCCCACCCTGTGTCATAGACATGATAGAATCCCTACATTGCGGGAGCAGGCCATTCAGCCCATCATCAACCTTCTGAAGGGCATCTCACCCAGATCCACTCCTACCCCATCCTGGCATTTCCCCATGGCTAACCCATCGAGCCTGCAAACCTGTGGACTGTGGGAGCAAACCAGAGCATCTGGAGGGAACCCACACAGACACAGGGAGAACATGCAAACTCTGCACAGACGGTGACCTGAGGGTGGAATCGAACCCAGGTCCCTGACGCTGGGAGGCAGCAGCGTTAACCGCTGAGCCACGACGCTGCCCGTAAGTTAGTTGTCAATTAAGTGCCTAAACTCTCCTGAAGCACTGACCATGGGCGGCCGTCTCTTTGGGTGACCGTTGTCCCCTTGCTGTCCTCCATTTGAAAGAACAAAAGCCTCATTGTTCTCGAGAGCAGCGCGCTAATAATGGGTTAGAGTTGGCGCCAGATAAAACTGGCTCCCTGTTTCTCGTCGTTCTTCCCCGCGCTGGGATCGCAGAACATTAATAACTGCAGCGGGAGCTGAAATCTAACGCGATCCCCGCCCCCTCCAGCACCCTCCCCCCGCCTTCCCCTTGCTGAGGTGATGATTCTGAAAGGGGACGGTTACCCGAGAGTAGATGCTGACCTTTCTCGCAAGGGGGATGTCTTGTCATTTCAGCCCTCCATCTGGCCAGAACAGCCCAACGGTGCCGAGCGGCGGGTTGGTACCATGGGATATACCCGGCTCACCCACGCCGGACCAGGATGGTCCCGGAGAATTCCCTGGACCCAAGGAGCACTCGTTCAGACCCATCAACGCGTTGCTGTGCAAGGTTGCCCGGGTAACGTATGCCAACGCGCCGGAGCAGGAGAAACGGAGTGGAAGGGAGAGGCTCGCGGGACACGATCCCAACGCTGTCGCTATGGCGACGTTGAGAGAGCGCAGGAAGCAGTTTGGCTCGGAGGAGGTCAGACTGAGCTCTGCGCCGAGCGCGGGGAGGGGTGGGGGTTTAGCGGGCTGGGCAGTGAGGTTCGGGAGGAGCTGATCCCCGCACATATTAAAAACAAAATAAAGAGGGCATCGGCTCAAGGGCACGGATTTAGAGTGATTCCCGCACACAGCAGAGGCTGAGCTGACGAAATGCCCTTTCTCGCTGGGCGACGGCTGAAGGCAGGGAGAGTGGAGTCAGTCTCAACTGAGGATAGAAGTGATGTACGAGGGGACGGGGAGAAAAGCAGGAGATTTAATGGTGCTCACTGAGTGACCCAGTGCAGGTTATGATGGGCTGAACGGCCTCTATCTGCACTGCGTCACTTCTTCGGTAAACAAGCCAGATCCCGAAGCCAAAGAGATATGGACCTGGGACGCTGAGGAAGACTCTGTGCGACTCCTCGAGGTGGTGGTTTTCCACCTGAGGCGCGTGGGGGGGTGCACATGTGCTGCTGGGTGCCATAGTGCCCATCTCTCCAGGTTCTGAGAGCCTGGTAGTGGTGGGAAAGGTCTGCCCACGATGGTGAGTGCCACACCATTGCACATGAACACCAGGCGGGGGCAGCATTGACTGCTCCAAGGTGCGGCCTGCACCCCTGACCTCGAGAAGGTGCCTACTCCTCCCTGCTTTGAGATGCATGGTAGTGGGCACAGCTACTTGGCGGATCCAACAGTGCCAGGCAACAAGTGGCAGACATTTCTCGGGACACCAACCCTCCAAAGAGCTTCCCACCCAGACCAACCCCCCTCACCAAATTGTCACATGGCCAATCCACCCATCCCTCGACACTATGGGACAATTTAGCATGGCCAATCCACCCTAACCTACACATCTTTGGAGTGTGGGAGGAAACCGCAGCACCCGGAGCAAACCCACGCAGACACGGGGAGAACGTGCAAACTCCACACAGACGGTCGCCCGAGGCTGGAATCGAAACTAGTTCCCTGGTGCTGTGAGGCAGCAGTGCTAACCACTGAGCCACTGAGCCACCGTACCCTCCCTCCAC